GGTGCCACACACACTGGGAAAGAGATGATTCGGGGCATGCTGGGTGTTAGAGGGGTCCTGGCCTGATGCACAGGGCATCGGGAGTGCTGGACAGCAACAGTCACAGGTGACTCTGTGAGCAAATGGAGCTGCCTGGATGCCAAGCCAGATCCAAGTTCCCTATTGAAAATGCAACTTAGCAACTCTTCAAACTTCTGTAACAACATCTGGGAAGCGGGGATCCTGCTGCAATAAACAACATGGGCTGGTCTCAGTGGTGCGGCAGAACACACTGCTCCAGAGAGGCTGGAGCCATCGCAGGCTCAGCTTTCCAGTTGGCCTGTGGGGGCCAAGTGCACATATCCATGGTCCTGGCTGGCTGGGAAGGCTGAGGGAGATTGCAAGGTGAGACCCTGTTGAGGGCGTTTGTCTTTCTCTCTCTCTCTCTCTCTCTCTCACACACACACACACACACACAAAATTAAAAAATAGAACAAAAAAAATAGAATGAAAGTTCCTACATCACATAGTTGTTCGATGACTGAGACACTGCAGGTGTTTACGATTACAAGTATCAGTGTTCATGTGCTTAATGAAAGCATAATGTTTTGAGATGGATGACGCCCATAAACTTCCCAACGTAGTTCATGTTCTTACTGAGGACTAAGACAAGGGCTTTCCAAGCAGGAAGAACAGATCAGAGAAACTGCCACCAGCATCAGGCACTCATGCTCCTCCCAGGCCCAAGGTCTTACCCCAGCTGCAGCTGGGTGTTCAGACACACAAAAGCAAACTCACCAACTGCCTTCATCAGAATAAAGAAGCGCTTTCTCCTCTCCTCTTGCTCTTGGTTTGGGTCATTCTTAAATGACAACAAAATAGAAACCGTCACCACTTTTGCAATTGAAGATTGGGAGTGGCTGACTCAGTTCATTACCCTCACTCTGGAGGAGTAGGTAGAGGTGCCCCTTCGTAGGTAACTGCCCACCTTGCAGTGTACCACTTTCTAGAACGTTTTACCAAGGGGGAAGACAGCTCCATTAGGTACAGTGCTTTTGTGAAAACAAGATCTTCCTGGGACGGGTTGATGGATGTGTGTTTGACTGGCCAGTCGTGCTGTCTGCCATGCAGCCCTGTCCCTGCCGCTCCAGCAGGAGGAGGAAGAAAAACACATCCCTTCATGCCACACTGCAGATCAAGACAAGGTTCACTCATAATTGCAGAGCCCCGACCTGGAGCAGGGTGGGCCAGGGAATTAAGGAAAACAAGCCAAGGAGAGAATCTGGCAGACGCTGATGAAGAAACCGAGAGGAAATGAAGTCAGCGAGGGTTCCTGCGTGTTTATTTCAGAGCTGACAGAGCATGGGCCTAACCGGACGGAGCTTCTGATTTATAAAGTATCTTTATTATATTACCTATCTTATACTATATTGGAGGCTCTGCTCTTTGAGACAGAAAAATAAACAGCAGCCCCGCAAGAGCCTTTGGTCTAGAAAGAAGAATATAAACACACAACCTTCCTTCTCTGAATGGAGGTTTCAGCCAGAAATTGTTTGGGGGTGTTTAGACTTCAGGAGATGGTCTTTGCCCATCAGGAAGATGAGGTTCACGCAGAGTTATAAATGTCTCTATTCTACACATATTGAAGGTAAAGGGTTTAAGGTTTTTTGGATGAAACCAGTTTGCTCCACGAATGGACAAAAGCTTATCAGCCAGCGTACTCCCGAGATTCCCTGCCCATCTGTCCCAGGCGCGGAGGAGCTGCAGCATGTCAGAGGTGCTGGGGCCAGGTCTGCCTTCGGTAATTCACGTGTGTTTTCCTTCTTCAAAGAAGTAATTCTTCCCTTAAGCAGATGCCAGTTTCAACTGAGAGCTCGCCAGAGGCTTTTTTGGCTCCTGCTGGCTGAACTGAGTCATTGTCCACAGCGAACGAGTAGGCTTTATGCTGAACATGTGTTACCCACTGGGGCACGCCCCTCCTCACGTGTCCCTGGAGGCAGTTCTGCACATGCTTCCTGAGGTGACTCTACTAAGGAGAGGTGGCCCAGCAGGCTGCTCAGAGAACCAGGGGGTACACTGAGAAGCACCAAATTCATCCGCAGGCTTCCCTCAGGAACACAGAAGCTCAGGGGCACCTGCTTTCTGGTCTTCTACCTCACAAAGCGAGTCCTGCTTACCACCCATGAACAGATTAAAAGCACCGAGTCAGAACACATGCAGCGCTGTGTGAGAGGGATGTGTCTCTGACTCCATACCTGTCCACATGGCATTTCACTGTTTGCCTTGCACAGAGCTGGTACGCACATTTCTGTAAAGCGCAGGGGCTGAGGCCGGCAGTATCGGACAGGTGAACGAGCATGAACGAACAATGGCACAGCTAACGCAGCTGGGTAATGACCAGCTGCTGAGACTGAGGCCAGGTCGCCGGGCACACGCACCAAGCTCTGGCTCCAGCTCCCAACCCTGGGGAAGGGTCACAGTGGTGCTCGCCCTTGATTAGATGCCAAAATCATCAATTAATCCTCCAGACCAGTGAAGACTTAACACTTGCCACCGGGAAGAAGTGGAAAGCGCTGAACTCCGCAAGTCTGCCGAGCTACAGAGCCAGAAAGCCCAAGGGCGTTTTCCATGCCTCTCAGTAAAACAGGTCCATCTGGGCCAAATCCCCTCTACTTGCAGTTTTAAAAAATGTGTGTGTGTGTGTGTGTGTAGTTGTCCGAAAAGTCATGACACATTTTTGCATAGAAAAACTAGAAAAAATACATCATGACTTTTTGGACAACTCAGTATATATACACAACGTAAAACTGATCATCTTAACCACCGTAAGTGTCCAGTGCTCTAGTACTGCACTCCAGTGGGATTAGCCAGTACGTGTCCTTGTGTGACCAGCTTCTTCCACTGAGCATAACATCCTCAAGGTTCATCCACCTCGTATGCCTCCGCCTCCCTTCCCACGAGGGGGGGAATAGAGCCTCACACAATCCCAAAGAGCCACCTCCCTGCCCTGCACCTCCACCTCCTCGCAGCATTCTCATCCTCATGGAAGGAAACGTCACTGGCTTTTCTTGGAAGACTCGACGGGGCCTCATTATGCTGTAAGCCAAACTATGCTTATAAAAATGGGATTTTGCTATATAACTTTGAAAAATACAAGCTGGAACAAATAGGCATTTTCCCATTCATGTTCAAGGTCAAGTTGGTTAAAAGGGGAAAGGTCAAGATGGATCAGCTGGTGGCCCAATTAGAAGGCTCAGGAAGGTTCCAAGCCTGTGTTTTCATTCTCCCAAATGAGGAGAGGTGGCAGCTGCAGTCATGTGGAGGCCCGGAGTCTGGGGACAACCCGCAGGCCATCTGGGCTGCCTCTGAACAGAGGCTTCCACCGCTGAAACCTCAGGGTCAAGGCAGTTCTCAGAGGAAATGAGCATTTCTGTGCATTTCTGTGGTCCTGGCCCCACCAACGGCCGGCCAGCCACTGGGGACCCAGATGGGAGTGACCGTAGGTGATAGAAAAGACTCCCACGTCCATTCTTGAGCATGTCTTCTCTTCCCCTCTCTACTCTGGAGGAGTCCTTTGAATTCTACTAGTGAGGTACTGAAAACCCTTCCCACCATTCCTCTGCTGTCGTCTGAGCTGCCAACCAAGTGCAGCATCATCGCGGCTGAGTGCAGAGGGACAAGCGGTAGAGGAGCCTTTCCCACTCCAGCCCCCTCTGGGCTTCGAGCACCTGTCCAGCCACCTCCTGGGCTTTGACTGTCATGGTGCTCAGACACCAGGGCGAACAGAAAAACCATTTCTACCCGTGAGTCCGCAGAATCAACAAGCCCTGGTGCAATAGCCCAGTGCCCCACCCAGCTGAGTCCCTGGGTTCACCTGGCCTTCTGTGAGTCCCTGGGGAAGGTGCACCTGATGCCAAGGCCCCTAAGACCCAGGGCCTTGCTGTCCACCTCGATGTTAGCTGAGAGCAAGAGGATGGAAGGAGCACACACCAGGGGCAGAGGTGAGGCAGGGAGATACCAGGCATAGACTGAACATCTGTACGTGGGGGGAAACAGGCGGGTCTGTGATCGGCAGGGGCAGGGGCCGGGGCCCAGGGAGGGCCTTTGGGGAAGGATGCAGTCCAGGCCTCGCAGCCCAGGCCTCACAGCCCGGCTCTCTTCACTACATCAAGCTGGGCCTCCCCTACTCCCTTTCATCAAACCCAGAAATTAAATCATGTTGAATTAATATCCCCTAATAGCCAAAGATCCATCAACAAAACTTGGGTTGTTGCTTGAAAAATCTTTCCCCCACAGGAGTAGGTGTGTTTAAAAGTACTTTGTGCATTATCTAAAAGGAAATATGAATCTTTCCAGTGCTCCAAAGTCCCGCCAAGACAACAGGACGCGTGCACGTCGCATGGTGTGTTGTGCCAGCGTGGGTGGCAATGTCACCCCTGCCCTTGCTGTTGGTCAGCATTTCATGGAAATCCGACTGCCCCCACTGCCTTCTCACTTCCTCCTCCCCACCCTGAAATTCTCGTGGAGCAAATTTGTAGGATCTCTTTTCTGTGGTTGTTTTTTTGATAAATAGTCTGTGCACAGTGTTTGAACAATTTGGAGTTTCCTTGCTTGAGAGTCCCTGGGCAAACAATGCCATCGGGGGTGCCCGCAAAATGAAGTTCGAAGTAGTTGGGAGTGAATAGGGAGTCGGTTCTATTCCTGCCCCTTGAATTCCAAGAAGGGGGAACCATGGCCGAACCCTGTGTGGGGAGGATGCCCTGCAGCCGGCCAGCAAGCACACAGGGCCCGCCCTCGAGTCCTGCTCCCAGCAGCACGGCCACCCAGCCCTGCCGCCCTTAAGGCGAGCGCAAGGTCCTACCTCACGAATAATGCCTCAAAGTAAGATCTGAGCAGGAGAGCCAAAGCGAAGGCCGAGTTTTTGTCAGATGCTTTGCCAAATGAGCCCCAAGGAGTGTTTTGCTGCGCCCCCCCAGAGAGGAGCCTGGAGAGGGGAAGCCCAGGGGCTGTAGGACACTCACTCAGAAGGGGTAGACCCCGGGAGTCAAGAAGCCGGGCTCGGTCCCCACCTGTCTCTTCATCAGAAGCGTCATTCGTCCCCTTGGTCCTCACGCTGGGCCGAGTTCCCTCATCTGATGAACGTGATGAAGGATTTCCCCCTCCAAGCCCACAGGAAGCCAGGTAAGGAAGGCGTCAACAGTGAGCATCTGAGGACTGCCACTGGGTGACCTCCAGTCCAGTGAGGGCGGAGCAACTGCCCACTGGCCGGCCCTGCCTTGAAGCAGACACACGCTGACTCGTCACACAGCTCCAAACATCCTTCCCTTGGCCACACGGAAGTCCCCAGCGTAAGCCCATCTCGTCGCGGCGTGTTTTGTTTTACATATATTTCCTTCGTTTATGTCTGTGAAGACAACCAGGGCTTCAGGAGGAGCGGGGATGCTCCAAGCTGAGTGTGCACCGTGCGGTGAACAGAGGGTAGCAGAGGAGCAGGAACTGCCAGGATGCAGCCTGAGCTCCCTGACAGGAGGGACAGCCTGAGCTCCCTGCCAGGAGGGGCAATCTAGTCGTGCCTCTATCCCCACGGGCGGCATCAGGAGCAGTAGCGCAGAGTACCCACATGGCTGAGCACTGCACGGACCAAAGAGCATTGTCTGTGCAGCTTCCGAACGTGGTCTTCCACTCCCCAAAGCTCTGCCAACGGAGACCTCACGGTACCCACAGCTGAGTCTCAGTATCTGAGCTTTTCCCCCTCATTGTCATGGTTATTGAAAAACTGGGTTTGCTGAACAGGTCTGGAATTCCTGACCCTGCACCCAGATCATTCCAGGGGTTACCAGTCCCAGCGTCTGTGACTGAGGACAAGAACTGAGTCGGGCTCTCCGCTGCTGTTCTTCCCAGGCCCAGAGCAGTGCCCACCGCAGCACGGGTGCTCAGTGGATATTTACTGACCGAACGCACAGGCACACACAGTCACTCGCCTCCTCGGGTCTTAGAACAGGCTGCAGACGTTGCTGTGGCAACCCTGCCCAGGCCTTTCCAGGTGAATCTGGAATCTGAGAGGGAGTGCCTTTCCACCTTCACATATTACCACTCATTAGGGAAGCTGGGAGAGTTCAGCTCTCCCCCTGGTTTCTGCTGACACTCAGCTGGCATCCTGCTTCTGCACTGTTGTGGGGTGAGGACGCTTCCTGTGGGATCTGGAAACCTCCGCTCCGATAACATTGCGGATTGGCACACGTTTCTGTGCCCAAGGGTCCTGAGGCCCAGAACTGCTGTGAAACTATTTTACCCACATTCATTCAGCTCCTGGGTAGTGCTACTGGACTTGTTTTCACAGGATAAACAAAGGATAAGAACAGCTGTCCTTGTGTTTCAGAAGCTTGGTGTGTGGTGAGTAATAGTTCCACATCTTTGATCCAGAGTGTTAAAAGACATGTCCAATAGAGGTTGGCCACCCCTAGTGATTCGACCGATAGTCATCGAATTCCACGCATCCCCACACGAGATGCCTATTTTACACACACACAATCTGAAGTTCAGAAAACTTGGTGCCTTGACCTACCTGAAACTGTTGCAAGACTAGGGCTCTTGGCATTGCCCAGCAGTTGGGATGTCATGACTTTTCAAATCCTATTTCTGGAAGAAATACTAAATGATTATTACATAAACACGTCAATCCGAATGCAGCCCAAAAATGGTTCCCCCAGGAAAAAAAAAAAAAAAGCATCAGCATGCTTATCGCCTTGGCCTTTTCTGTAGGAAGAGGTACTAGACTGTGGGATCTGGAAACCTCCGCTCCGATAACATTGCGGATTGGCACACGTTTCTGTGCCCAAGGGTCCTGAGGCCCAGAACTGCTGTGAAACTATTTTACCCACATTCATTCAGCTCCTGGGTAGTGCTACTGGACTTGTTTTCACAGGATAAACAAAGGATAAGAACAGCTGTCCTTGTGTTTCAGAAGCTTGGTGTGTGGTGAGTAATAGTTCCACATCTTTGATCCAGAGTGTTAAAAGACATGTCCAATAGAGGTTGGCCACCCCTAGTGATTCGACCGATAGTCATCGAATTCCACGCATCCCCACACGAGATGCCTATTTTACACACACACAATCTGAAGTTCAGAAAACTTGGTGCCTTGACCTACCTGAAACTGTTGCAAGACTAGGGCTCTTGGCATTGCCCAGCAGTTGGGATGTCATGACTTTTCAAATCCTATTTCTGGAAGAAATACTAAATGATTATTACATAAACACGTCAATCCGAATGCAGCCCAAAAATGGTTCCCCCAGGAAAAAAAAAAAAAAAAGCATCAGCATGCTTATCGCCTTGGCCTTTTCTGTAGGAAGAGGTACTAGACTGAGAATTGGAGGATAAATGTTTGGTTTCTCTCTCTGACTGTTACTGTTTCTGTGATCTTATGATGCTCTCTTTATCTCTCTATATCCTTTACATCACTTTTTGTGCAATACGTACCTTCTTCCCCTCAATATTTTCACTTAAAAATGAGGTTATATGGCCCAGACTCATAGTCTAGTGGTTAAGGTGGCTGGATCCCACATGGCCAACTGCATGGTTCAAATACCAGTTTTAGCAACTTGAAAAAATAGAGTCGGTGTGTGTGCATGCATGCCCAGAATCCCAACAAGAGGGAGAAATGCAGAGAAGGGATTGCAGCATGACCACGCCCATTGAGTGTGGTCCATGCCCCCATTGCCTCTATCTCTCTAGTGAGCGCACATATACGCCCTCTGAATATTCAATTTAAAAATCAGATCATGAAACTTAAATTATTTATCAAGGCATAAATAGTGGCACATTTCAATATCAAGCCTGACTACCTCCAACTCTTCACTACACCAATGTTCATCTATTCCTTAAAAAGTTCTTCACTCTAAGTTATTCTTTTTGTGCTTCAGTTTGGATAGTTTGGATAGCTGTTTTTCCATTCATGAATGTTTTTCTTTTACACTATACACAGCCTTGTCTTAAGCACATCTACTTAGCTTTTCACTTTAGATAAAAACAATGATTAGTTTTAGAATATATATTTGGTTCACTTTCTAGTTTCCATGTCTTTGAAAAGATTCCCCCTCTACCCAAACATTCTGCCTACCTTTCTTTGAAATCTTTTTTTTTTTTTTTGAGAGGTTTTTGCTATAGGGCGCGTGCGCTCGCCAGACAGACAGAGAGAGACAGAGAGATAGAAAGCAGGAAATCACCCCCCAGGGGGGATGGCCACGCCGCAATCCCTTCTCCTCCATTCTCCTCTCGGGATCTTGGGCACGCACGCACACGCGCCCGGCGTGAGTTTAAGCCACCAAGTCCGGGACTCGAACCGCGGTCGACTACGTGGGAGTCCAGCGACATAGCCATTATGCTAACTGCTGGTCCCTCTTTGAAATCTTTTAATACACTTATATTTGCTGTTTCTAATCCTTGCTTGTTAGTTGAAACATCTCTCTTATCTGTGGGTATGTTTATACTGACTTTTGTATTACACAACACATTTTCCTGCTTCTTCTCAGGCCTACCAACTTTCAATCATACATTTCATAAATGGTCAATAAAACTGATTTTGCTTTCTGTCTCAAAAAAGTGATAATTTTGTTATTGCAGGTAGTTTGTTTACTGGTGGCTAGACATCCTTCTGTCAAGGATAGATCTCAAGATCTGTTAAGGCATGTCTAGGATAACCCTTACTCTGGGGCCAGCATAGGCTACTTTTAAGGGACTATCTGTCTAGGATGTCACTTGGTGAGATCTTCTTAATCTTGCTGGCTTTAATGCCAACACCTCCTAGGTTAGTGTGACTTCTGACATCTCCTTTAACTCAGTCCTCAGTAACGCCAGTTCTCTCAGACTTGCCTTGCGTACATGAAGTTTAGCGCTGTGGCAAAGACTCAAAGGAATCCCTATGAAAATGTTTGGTTCCATTTATTTACTTAGTTATTTTATTGTTTCTCACATAGTTTTTATTTTTTATTTATCTACTTTTAAATTGACAAATAAAAATTGTACACATTTATGGTATGCAACATGATGCTCTGAAATATGTCTGCACTGTGGAATGGCTACTGATGCCCCTTTCTAAGTATTGTATCCCCTCCAGTATTATATTCTACAAATTCTAGCCACCCTCATGGCGTGACCATCACAGTGTTCTACCTGACCTGTGAGACCACAACTCGATTTGGCTCTATGTCCTTATGTCATAGTTTGGAAAGTGCCTTCACTCAGAAACCAGAGGAAACATGAAATTCACCTCATGTTTCCTTATCTCAAAAACCATAGCCAGCCACCTGTTGTCACCTTTACTACTAAAGTAACCAATAGTGCTTCTTTTCTCCCTGAATCCTTTAGATCTTCTTAGTGGCTCTTTAGAATCATTATGATCATTTCCTTGAGAAGGTCATGAGATGACATGGAAGCAAAATACCCAAGGAAGTGCCTTATTTGCTACCTAGCAGGTAGGCAGACAGCCTCTGAAGAGACTGGATCAGACAGAAACTGCTATCTGTTCCATCACCTGGAAGCCATTCAGTGACTTACAACTGCCACTGAAATTAGATACACTCCCAATGACAAGAGTTTCCATAATGAAACTGCACCCGGGGATTGCAACGTATATGAAGTACATTCTTGAACCTTTATCTGTATTTAAGCCTCATAGAGGGACCAAATATAAAGTAATCTCAGGGCAATACATTCTTATTTGAAATATTTTTGCTTCTGGCTTATTGCCTCTCTGAGGTTTTGCTTTTCTTTAGGAAGAACAAGAGAATGTTATTCTAATATCTCTCAGGACAGTACAATCACACATCAGCTCTAGACCCTGCTGGTTACCTTGGCAAGCCTCTGATATTTCCTTTGGCATTTTCATGACTGAATTGGGAATGCACAAATTGAGAGCTACATTTGGATCAATGAATAACTCAATTAAAGCATGAGAGGACTAAAAATGGAACCAACTTGGGGGCAGGATAAGTAAGAGTCTTGAATAAGCATACAATTGTATTTAGTAAAATTCTGCCTTGCCTTACTGTAATTAATAAGCAGGTCGAACTAACTTTTATTTCCTCTAATGTGCATTTATCATTTGTACTTCAAGTAAATTTCTTGTGATGTTTCACAATCTTTTGTCCATTTCTGACCTCATAGAATTTTTA